ATACACAAATGGCCAACAAGTACGTGAAAATATGTTCAACATCACTGGTCATTAAGAAAATGCAAATCAAAACCACAATGAGATACCACCTTACATTCACTAGGTTGGCCATAAAAAGAAAGAAAAATACCAAGTGCTGGCAAGGATGTGGAGAAATTGGAATATTCGTACATTACTAGCAGGAATGTAAAATGGTACAGCCTCTGTGGAAAACAGTTTGATGGTTCCTCAAAATGTTAAACACTGAATTATCACATGTCACAGCAACTCCAAGGGAAATGAAAATATATGTTCACACAAATACTTGTACATGTAGCATTATTCAAATAGCCAAAAAGTGGAAACAACCCACATGTCCATCAACTGATGAATGGATAAGCAAATCTATACAATGCAATGTTATTTAGCCATGAAAAGGAATGAAGTACTGATGCATGCTACTACACGGATGAACTTCAAACACATGATACTAAATAAAGAAGCTACACACAAAAAGGTCACATATCATATGATGCCATTTACATGAGGTTTCCAGAATAGGTAAATCCATGGAAACAGGAAGTGGACTGGTGATTGCCAGAGGCTGGGGGCAGGGCAAAATGGAGAGTGAGTGCTCAGTGGGTACAGGTTTTGAGGTGATGAAAATGTTTCAGAACTAGAGAGAGACAGGGACTGCACAACACTGGGAATATACTAAACGCCACTGAAGTGTACCCTGTAAAATGGTTAATTTTATGTTATGTGAATTTCATCTCAATAAAAAAAATTGAAGGCAAGCTTTTACTCTGGGGAGGCTTACTTAAATTGGCGGGATCAACTCAATACACACTGAAAAATGCCATCACGTACTAAAAGCAATATACGAACAAGTGCATGACTTAATCTTTATTCTAAATCTATAAATGCTGAGAAGTAAGGAGTCCTTGGGTGGTGCAAACAGTTAAGCGCTCAACTACTAACAGAAAGGTTAGTGGTAGAACCCACCAGAGGCACCCTGGAAGACAGGTCTGGCAATCTGCTTCCAAAAAGTCACAACCTGGAAAACACTACAGACCAGTTCTACTCTGTACATATGAGGTTGCCATGAGTCAGAATCAACTCAACGGCAACTAACAACAACAATGGAGTTAACTAAGGATTTCTAGAAGATGTGCAATTTTAATCAGAATTGGAAGATGATATTTATACCTCAGAGAATTAATATTTTATCAAGAAAACCAATCCATCTGTGAAGCTGTATCCACTAATAACATTCAATACAAATGAATTCCTACAAATTCTGGGAGTTTATCTGAACTACTGCAATTGATCCTATTCTCTTAATAAAGTATCATTTAAAACTTAGTTTATACATCTCTAAATATCTGTATGTGCACACGTGTGTGTGTCTTGGTAATCACTTTGCTTTCAATATTAATAGAATGATTGAACAGAGTCTCGTAAGAAATGTTTAAGCTAGTTTTAAATTACCCTTGGTGGTCCGATAAATTTAGATTCCCCTTGCTATCTGCCCGCTAATGCAGCACCAGCATGCTGATGTTAAATGTGCAAAGTCTGATGTTAAGGTGTGACAGTATCCCTTGTTTTCACATGCTAACATTCTCCATTAAATTATAAGATGATCCATAATACTGGCACTACAGTTGTAGTAGATGAAACATATAAAGAGTAATTTGGTTTCACATGGAAACCGTTACCAAGACAATCCTTCTTGTAGAATGAAGTTCCAAGAACATTACCATAAATCATAAGAAATTATTTCAGCAGCTGGTTAAAACTGAGTGTACATAATACAAGACATCTGGTTGTCTGTGCATTTTCAGTTCATTTAAGAAGTATAAACACATTAAAACACTGAAATGTTTGATACATTATAATACTGCTTGCTCCTCAAGAGTGTTCAAGGGGCTGGTCTCTTCATTGTGCTCAAGGCTTATATACCTTCCAAAAAGATTTACTATTTCCATCCCCCTTAACATCACCAAGACATTTTATCAACAAAGGTAAGAATGTACTCATTTAGGATATGTTTTTGGTAATGAAATAAATGCAACAGAAGCGGTGCTATTTCAGAAATTTAAATCAGGAGTACTTGAAGCATCTCACACACACTGACATATAACAAGTAGATAAAATGTGTTTCCTCTCCCTCCTCATTCATCTCTTTCCCTTCTTTTCCCATCTTATTAAGTACTTTAGTTCTTAAATTCTATAAAAGAGTTTATATTTGCTCAGCAGACATACTGAGCACAGACTGTGTAACACACACTGGGCTAAGTTCAATAGAAAAGTACGAAAATCAGGGATATTTAAGGCATCTTATGACCATAATGAATTAAATCTATTTGAGAAGACGGACATACAGGCCAATGGGCAATGACATAATTGCTAAATTAATGCTATAAGCAGTAACAACTACAGAAATTCAGACGGCTATTCCTACTTTGCTGTTTTTAATTGCTGCCAACTCAATTCCAATTCACAGCGATCCCAAGTGTCCAGAGTAGGACTGCTCCATAAGGTTTTCATGACTGTGACCTTTCAGAAGCAGATGGCCAGGCCTGTCTTCCAAGGCACCTCTGGGTGGGTTTGAGCTGCCAACCTTTTGGCTAGTAGTCGAGCACTTAAACCATGTGTGCCACTCAGGGAGCCATAGTCCTACCACTGCTGTTTTATTCAGGGTTTCTGGCTTATCTAACTGTTAAATGGTATAAAATAATAGTGCTCTGGCTCCAGCCTAAATCCTCTTACTTGTCTCCTCATCTATATTCTCCACAGATTACCTCATCTATTCTCAAGACTTCAATGGTCAGCTGTATCTGGACTACAATATAATCCATATTCTAAACTCAGAACACTCCTAAACTCCAAACCCACTCAACTATCTGCTAAATAGACATCTTCACTTTGACATCCTGAAGTCAAAATATCTAACACACAATAACTTGTATGTAATAAAGGGAAGAGTGTAAGAAAAATGTTGGTGTTTCCTTGTCTTCGCAGAAAGAAAAACTTAAAGAATGAATAAGACATAACAAATGGTTATCACCTTAAGGTGTGAGCATTCTCTGATTTGTTGAGTCGTCTACCTCCCCTGACAATGGATTTCCATGTTTACAGTATAATTTTTGTTAAGAGCTATAGCAATAAGAATTGCATTTGACCACATGTAACAGAAATCTAGTACAGTAGCTTAGTCAAAATCGTTTTTTTTTTTTTTTTTTTTTTTTTTTAAATGTAAGAAGGATTCTAAAGAAAAGTAATCCATGGCTGGTATAATAATTCCATAATGTCGTCCATATCTCTGGGACACTGATGGCTCCTGGAATGCTGTTCTTTGTATGTGGCACTCGTTATTACAGTTTCAAGATGCACTGCCTCCACATTCCAGGAAGGAAGACAGGAGAAGGGCAACAAGCAAAAGGCTGATGGGTACATGCTCTGGAAGCTCATGATTTCTGCTTAAATCTCACTAGCCCAAACTAGGTCACATGGCCACATTTAGTTGCCAAGGTATCTGAAAATTAAGCTGGGCACATACTGCCACCCCAAACAATATTTGAGTTCTCTTAGAAAGGGAGGGGAGAAATGATATTGGGCTTGCAAATAGCTGTGTCTGTCACACGACTTCAACCTGCATGGGAAATTTTCCCCTGTGCCCTTCCCTATCAGGTATTCCTCAGTTGTCTCAGCCCTACTTTCTGGTCCCAGTAGTTACAACTGGGTTTGCTGGTTCTCACTTCTAAATCTGTATGAAAATTTTAGATGCTGCACTCATGTGCAACAAAGGCCAAGAGCACATTTTTCTCACAAATATCTCTCTTTCCTTATTGGGTCACAGGCAAATGGCACATTTCTAACCATATCAACATGCAAATTGAAAGCCTGTGATGATAAACTTTAAAATCTACTTCTTCATTTCAAAAATAATTCCTTTAAAAATAATTGTTTGAAAATTGGTTCTTTGGAGGCAAAAAATAAAAAAATAAAAATCACAGAGAATTTAATAGTTTCTGGCTCTCCAAAGGGCCACAGTACATAAAAAAGTATACAGTGTATCTATGGTATGAAAACATCACTGGAGGAAGGGGGAAGGGACAATTAGGGGGAAAAGGCCTAAAAAGGCACCTCAGGGGGACGATAATGAAAAAAAAAGGTTGAGAATCACTACTTTAAAATAACAAACTGAATTAACATTTTGAACCAGATAAGAATTACACTGAGCTATAATGATAGAAACTGAGTTACAGTAGCTAAAACAAATAAGGGTCTATTTTTCTCACATGAAAAGTCCAGGAGGCGAGAGGGTTGGGGAGGGGGCACGGCTGGCAGTTGATGGCTTTGGTTCAGAAGCTCAAAGACGTCAAAGCAGGGGGGTTCTCTGTAAATCTCATGGCACCAAAATGGCCATGCTACTCAAAAGACCTCATTCACATTCTGCACAGCAGGAGGGAGATGTATCAAGAGCAAAACAGTATGCCGCCTAGCTGAGTCAGTTCCCCTTAAAAGAGCTTTGCCCAGAATTCTCATTCGAGGGCTTCCCCCTACAACTCACCAACCACTTCTAGCTTCAAGGAAGGCCGGAAAAGGAAATGGAGAGAACAAATATTGGGTGAACAACTAGCTGTCTCTGCCATATAGGGATGGATTAGTTTCAAAGTAGCAGAGCACCTGACCTTGAACTTCCAAATAACCCTTGCCTTAAACCCTTGTTTACAGAGGGCCGTTAGTCAATCTAGTAATGTGCCTACCATATGCTTAATGTTGCTGGAGAGTTTGGTTAGTTTCCTCTTAACAACATGTAATTCTTGCTTTAATGATGGATAGTCAGGCAAGTATTATTAGGCAACACAGATAAAAGAACCCCACGGATGTATAGGTCCTTAAAAGGCACACATAAAAGTACTATACCAGGACCCACAGATCCTTCAACATGTGATCAATTATCATCTTCAATATACAAAAGAGACAAAATAAATCCTGGCTTAGCCAGAACTTACAAGAGTGGAATATCAGTGATCAACTGCATCAAACAGCAGATCAATTCTTCCAAAAGATCTTCTGAGTCAGAACCTGGTAAGACACATAAAAAGTTTTTTTAACAAAGTATAAAATAGAATGGAGTTGTTTCGAAGTTAGATCTTCATTCCTAACATGAATAAGGACTGTTATAATTACATAAACTCAGGTGGTACTGTTGACCTCTGAATAAAATCCAAATTATGAGTAAGATAGTATCTATTATAATCTTCATCTAGTATAGGAAATTTGAACACCTACTATTAATTATATGGCTCTTAAAGCTTGAGGGTGTCTTATGGCTCCTCTAGGCCTGCAGTTTTCAAATTTCTTATACTGCACTATTTCTTCAAATGAAATCTTACACTAAATTCAAATTAATAAAACAGATAAAAATCAAGCTGCTCTACATGCTTTGTTTGAAGCAGGGATTGAGGACATTTAGCTCCCTCCCCCTCTAAATATCTGACCTTACCCTGATCTTCTTGATGACCTTACCCTGGGGCTCCACAGATCACAGACTGAAAACCATTAATTGAGACCAATCAGGATTTTAGAAACAGCCAAAGAAAACATGGCTTTCCCAAGTCCCATAACAAGTGGCAAAGGCAGGATGCAAATGACCATTCCAACAGAAATGCTCCTCTGCCCCCATCAAATAGCTCTAGCTAAGTGACCTCCTAATTTTCAAGTCCAATTGACATGGAAATTCTGGCTTCTGGACACTACTGACGCCTGCTCCTTCACGAAACTCTTTCCTCCCTTAGTTTCTATGACACCTTATTCCTACCTGACTTCTATTCCTCCCTAGCATCTGTTTCCTCAGCATACCTTTCAACTTGGTGAGTTTCGCCAGTGGCTTTGTTCTCTTCTTACTTCCTATACTCTCCCTGGTCAATCATCACTTATATGTTGATGATTCCTAAATTTATAGTTTTCCTCTTGACCTCTCCATTAAAATTCACATTTTGTATATCCAATTGCTTACTGGCTATCACCACCTAGAGGCATCACCAGTACCTCAAACTCAACATGTTCAAAACTGAATTCCTCTCCCCCAACACTTCAAATCTACCTATTTCTTCTTTTCTCCTTCTTGGTTCATAGCATCAGTAATTCAAGGCCAAAACCCAGACTACTCTCTCTTATTCATCTTTCCGTAACCAATCAATTTCTAGGTCCCCTCAATTACACAGTGCACTTCTCTGATATTTCCTCATTTCCTCTTTTCTTCATCCCCTCTGTCATGTTTTAATTCATTATCTCATCATCTTGGTTCAGTTAAACAAATTCTGCTAAATTAAAACTCACTCCCAAACTCCTTCAAACTTTCCTAATTCATATTCCTACCTCCAATTGTACTCCTCTCTAGTCTAAACTCCAGGTTACTATCAGAGGGAGCTAACTAAACTCCATCCTTTCCTGGCTGAGATCTTTTCAATTGCTTTAAGCCAATTAGTATGTACTAGAAATAATTCCAAGCTCCAAAGTGCATCATGCAAGACTCTTCAAGATGTAGGTCCTTCATCTCTTTCTTTTATCTCCTACAATTATACCCTTTACAAATCAGATTCCAGCAATACCATGCTACCTGCTACATGCCATTTTATGCCTTCTCAATAACATTCCCTCTGCCTGGAATACCTTGTAACAATAAGAATTTGATTTCTTCGAAAGACTATCTTCATCCATCTGAACCATCCTGAGTCTTCATCTCTTCTAACAAACCCAACTCTCTTGCCTCACTTTGAATAAAAATAATCATCTATAAAGCATCTATGCCTTGTGCATATGTCTTTCATTGCATATGTCAGTTACACTATTCCACAATTTTCTGTCTATATGTCAGCAGGTCCTTATTGGGCTTTGTACTTCTGGGGGGCGATGACTGACAAAGAGCTTGGCAAATAGTACACACTCAATATATGTTTGCTGAACTCAACTCAGGTGTCTAAGCATAAATCCAGCAGCTGTTTACAAAGAACCAAAGCACTTGGAGTCTCAAAAAAAGCTTAGCCATTCTTTTCTCTAGACCACAACATCACTTGGTATTCCAAAATTATGAAGAAATTCCTTCCTGCCTCCCACAGATAGAACTGGCACAGTAATCCTCTGAGGGTGAGTACACAGACTTGAAGAGAATATTAAGCATACTGAACACACCAATCAATGCTCAGAAGAATACAGAGCAAGAATTATGTTCAATAACCACTTTAAATACCACTACAAGAAGCTCATAGGCTTGGCTTAATCTAGTGCAGAAAGTAAAATAAGGAAATAAGTAACACTTATCTCTGAGGTTACACGATGAAGAATAAATAAACAAGATTCTAACTAAAATCTCTCCCATTGTCAAGGCTGTCCGACATAACCCAAGTGAATTAACAACCTATTCCACCAAGTTGATTTATTGACACATAGTATGTAGTTAAGACATGCTTGCTGAACAGAAATGTCACTCATTGGCTAATCCTGAACGTAGTGACCCAGACTAAAACCCAATTTAAAATCACTTATTGATTCCCTAAAGAACATTTCAGACTAAATAAATCGACAAGTTTAATAATATACCCCTGTACAGTCAAGCACTCAGAACAGTTTGTTTATTACAGGTGAGGGAACAAGCACTCAGTACCAATAGATGGTACCCAATTGGATTTCTTTCTTCCAAGGGTGCGAACACATCTAATTTTTAAACCTTAAAATGGTGACAAGGTTCTCTATTGGGTATTCCAAATGCCATCTAAATCATGATCTCACCTAAGTTTACAGCTGGGTCAATTAACAAATATATTCACAGCTTTATTACTAATTTAGTATAATGATGATGATGATGATAAATACACTTCACACAAGTAACATGTAACTTTCAAGGTCAAAGCTCTAACAAAACACAGGACAAGAATAAGTGATTTCCAGTTGAAATCTCTGAAGACTTCCATTTACTAAAAGAACATTCCTGC